TGGAACAGCATAAACCCAGAACTGCTTCTGAGTTTAGAAGCTATGAAATTAGGGAGACAATTCAATCTACTTAGCCCAAAACTTTCAAAAAATGATTAATTTGTTTTGTTTGCCCTATTTTGGTTGGCCAATCAGAGACTTTACAAAAATATGAACTTGTTATTCAGGAAACACAGCTCACCCTCTGCAATTTGATAATTATAAAAAATATCTTCAGCTGGACACCTCTGGGTATTCAGCCATTCTGGCAAGTAGTGCTATAGTAACACAACTGAGCACTACTATTTTTTTTATAGCACTAATTTTAAGAAATGAATTCTGAAACACTTCTGCCCTGCATTAGCTAATACGCATTTTTGTAACCTGTAAAGGCACTCACATGTAAATAACCTGTTTAGGATACTGTGTTCTTTTCTCGTGTCCTTTTCAGTGTGCTATTTCTTTCTTTCTCCATTACTCAGTGGACAAGTAGGGATGAAAAGAATAAATCAAAATTATCATTCCTGCAAAATAATAGGCGGAAAAAGCATTGTCTCTCAGTAATTTCCATACGGTGGCAGAACTTTGTAGTGTAAGAAATTGGATAGGAACCATAAAAACTTTCAATTACCCAAGCCTTGGTATTTTTAGCTAGAATGAGAGGACAAATGATGAATTCAAGAGATGCAGAGCCCAAAGCACAACTGTTTGCGCTGCAACTCACACCTGTTAGATATAAGGGTGAACAGTATTCTGCTAATAACAGCAGAAGTTCTACAGCTAGAACAGCTTTCATGTGATTTTCAGAAGTATAATGACAGTTTTAAAGTCCTTCCAAAGGCAGCCATATCTGTGGCTAGGCCAGTGACGGTGTGGAACATAAGGCAACACAAAGCTGGGAAGCTGCTCTCTGAGAACTGCTTAGGCTAGTACATGAAGGAGAGTGGATAAGCTTAGGACACTTACCAGGCAACTTTAGAGCCCCAAGCCAGACATAAAATTCTGACATGACAGAGCCCCAAAACACCATGGACATTACTGTTTATACTGCAGCAGCATTTGGAGACTAGGACTGCTTCTGGATGGGCACAGTACAAAAAAAAAAAAAAGAAAGGGGTGGGGGGGTGGGCAGGCAGTTCTTGCTCCACTGAACAACTCCAGCCCTGGTAACAGTTTGTCCAGATAAATGAATGACGCTGTCTACTTTATTTTAGGTCTGAATGTTTTACGTCCCAGTGAGGCTAAGGAATAACTATCAGCAGTCTACACCGCTCTTACCTTTACTTTAGTCACCAGTTGTCTAAAGCCAAATGAAGAGAATAACCTGGAAGTTTCTGCAGATTTAGTAGAGATTTCTAAATTTGCTCTGAAATCTGAGGTACCTGCTAGGAAAAAGAGCTTCTGGCAGTTCATTTGGAAAAAAAACATGAGGTATGCATTCTCACCCAAGGCTAGCTTTCCACAGGAAGGAATGAAAACATCTTGTATGAGCCCGTAACTTCAGTAAACATGAGTACTTAGCAGAACATACATTGATGCAGACATGATACTGGATATGACAGATCATTGTCCACACCTGAATGATTGTTGCTTATGGCTCTTAGTCGCACAAATAGATCACTGTTTAGACTGTCAAAAGTAACTAAAAAAAAAAGTGTTTACAATTATTTTTGAAGTCTTCACTGAGGATGATGATTCCACTATTATGTTTCCTTGCACTACAGCTGTGCCAGAAGACATGAAGTGTCTGAACAGATACTGTCTGTACTTTCTTGCCTACAGAGTGACATCCAGACACAGCTAATTTCACAGTTTCATAAAAAATTCTGAAGTGTTTTAAAGATATTGTCTCTCTAGCCTTTTATCTTTGCCAGTGTCTGGCACAGGATGCTTAAGGAAGAGCAGGAGATTCTTCAAGAACAAAGTATGGAGATAATTTGTTAATCATCATCTCCCAGATTCACAAGAGGTAATGCAAAAATGGCCATACTGAGCCAGACCAGAACATCCAGCCCTTAACACACAAGTAATGATCACACAGGCACAAAGACAGTGGTGGGAAAGCAGAGCTCATCAACTGTAAGCCTTAAGCATCCTGTAGCGTCTGATTTATTACCATTATATCCAACTATATTAACTATTTTTAATCTTAAGTTTTAGTATCCAAAGTGTCTGCTAGCAAGGAACTACAGTTTGGCAATGCAGTCTGTAAAAGACTTTCTTCCCTTCTGTATGTCCTGTTTCTTATACAGAAGGGGAAGTGAGCAACTTCCAAATTTATCCCCGTTGTGGTGTTTATGAACAGCATAGTGTGTGTAGCAGACACTGGTGGGCTGTGGCCAGAAAGTAAGGATATGCTGCCATTTTGCATTTCTGTGAGAATAAATCAGTTAATTAAAATCAGTTTTCAAAGTCTATAAACCTTGAAACTGTAAATAAACTTCCCATCACAAAGTCTGATATTTGCATGTGAAAGAAGGGAATTTTAAAAAGAAGCATTTGTAAATTAAGTATTCGGAAGATGCAGGATATCCAACTCACCAGGAGCTTAGGTGACAATTCCCCCCACCCAAAACATCTGCTTGAACACATTACTTTGAGCTGTGAACATGATCTCTCTGTCATGACTGGAACAGCTTCCAAGTTGGAAGGGGGAACTGTACATCTGTTCTTCTATCCAAAACCATGAAGTGATGTGAGTATTTGTGAAAATTGATGGTTTATGTGAAGCCACAGAGGCAGAAGAGAGATTACTGAAGAATTTTAAGTACATCTCTACATATTCTATGGCTCAGGCTCTTGCCTGCTAAGGTACAATTATAATATAGATGATTCCCTTTATCAAAAGAAGTAGGTCACCACAGCATTTTTTTTTTCCCAAAAAGGTTAAAACAACCTTTATTTTAACATACAAATCAGATTTGTGTACAAGGCAAAATATACCCTACAGTGGTAGGCATACTGGGTCTCCATACAGCAAGTGTAGCCACTTGTGCTACAGTAATCCTGAGATATGGAAAACAGCCCTAAAAATCTTTTTCAAGAGGCCAAAATGTCTCTTTTTAATCACTCTTGCTATAATAACCTCCATTTGGGAATTAACAAAAACATTATACAGTTCTGAGTCAAGAAAACAAATTATCTACAAGCCAAATACCCAAGGTATTTGTCTAATTCCCTGCTGTTGTCTGGGTACACTAGCAAGAGCACTTGGAGAACAAATCAAGAGATGCAAATATGCAAGGTTACTTCATTAACACTGCAAAGCATGTAGAAAAACTGTAAGATATTTTTGCTACCTTCAACTACTATTGTCTTCACAAACTGTATGGTCAGTGTGTCCAGCTTGCACATCCTATGAACTTATAAAAGAAGTTGTCTACATTGTGTGTTAAGTTACTAAAAAAACCAATTAACTTACTTTGCTTCCTCTAACCATGAAGTTTTATGTAATGTAGAAACATTTTACAAGCTTACAGAAGCAGCAGAACTGCAGATGAAGTCTTGTCCCTAATATTAAAGAGTACTCGAGCACCCACATTTTGCTGCAAGATTGTATTTGTCATTAACTGACATGAAAAGTAAAGAACAGCCTTTTTTAAAAAAAAAGTTCAAGATAAGGAAAAGGTATAGATAGGGTTTTTTTAGTTTTACAATATATAAAAATAAGTTACACTATATATTATGGGTTTCTCATCTCGAAGAGTGCCATGACAGATTTAAACACTAGGTGTTGTAGTTTATTAACTCATCATCTTCTCAAACTTCCCTTAAATTTTAATGATTGTGTGAAAAGAAAAAACTAAATATTAGTGGGAAAATTAAGGAGCCTCTGGAACAATTTAAATAGCAAGAAGCACTCACAGAAGTCCTTCAGAGAAATTTTTTGTTTAACTTAAAATTCTACTTTAATTTTTTAATTAATTTGAAGATTTTATTTAATCTCTTGGCACAAATAAAGGCCAAGCCAAATCTCCCACAAATTTCAGCAGTCAGGACTTCATACTAAACTTCATTTCAGAAATTTTTACTCACGATTATGATACCATTATGCTACTAAATAATGATTTTCCCTTGACATTTGTTATGTTAATCATACAACTAGGATATTAGTCAGATTTGGTACTCAGCTACCTCAAAAAGGCTACAATTATGCTAAACCAATGAGATTCAAAACTACAACACAACCACTCAATATTAGGTGTTGTCCACTACAAACTGAAAGAGGCTTGAGTCAAAGACTGAAAGACTGCATTTGCAAACAGTGCTATATTATTAATGGCTGAGCATACTTAGATTTTGAAGCCTAAAGTTGGATTCAAATTGAATATATGAAAATATTCAAATACATGTAAATAAAAAGAATTTTAGTTTCATAGCCAATGTTGTAACAAAGATCTCAGTGCAGCTGAATGCTGATGTTTGCAACATCCAAGTCCACAGCAGACAAGCACAGACTTACAAATACAGTAAGAAAGATCATGGCACTAAATTTGGGAGTATTTTCAAGCTCTAGTTTTACCCAGGATAGAACAGTTCCCAGTTGAATAAAGTTAACTGAATAATGTAATTTTCAGCTTCTTATAAACAAGGTTCCATGTCATGCAGAAGCTGAGCTTTCTCTCTCTTCTTTTTCCAAGGAAAAGTATCTGAAAGGCAAGCTACAGTGATTGTTTCAGACAGTACTAAAATAAAAAAAGCAGATAGAAAAGTAGATGTATCAAAGAGTTCTTGCAGAAAAGGCACTCATCCTGGTTTGATTTTGTTTATAAAAAGGCACTTCACAGATTGCTAAAACTCTGTATTTATCCTTTCAGTTTTCTGTTAGAGGATGTATTTCAAAGTCGTTAGCATGAGTATGCAAAAGTTCTTTATATAGTGTTTATCTGCAAAATTCTATAACTACATATAGTATGTTACACCATTTATTTAGAAAATCAGTGTTCAAAATAATAGCAGGTCTTCATACAATACTTCAGTGATGACGGACGATCTGCCATAAGCAACAGCCCACCTGTAATGAGCTCATGCTAATAAAATTAGCAGTATAAATCTTTCAGAAGTGAGTCCTCAGTCTTTTGTTTTCTTCTCGTAGTCTCTCTATTTCAGCTACTAAGCTTTCATTTACAGAATACCTTTCAAGTAGAGCGTGCATTTCATTCTAGAGAAAAGAAAAAAGCCCCAATCAGCAGGTATAAAGTTAATTATTCCAGTTTTAGACTCTCAATTTTCATATCACTTTTGAAAATAACCTAGATAATACTGTTTTTAAAAACTTCTGATAAGAAAAGTAAGAATATTTTTTATGCTGACATACAGTATTTTGATCATTAATACATTAGCGAATATTTTATCAAAGGATATTTTGCACTTCTTCAGGATGAGAATCTAATAAAACAGGTTCCATTAAAATGTTCAGTACCGAGACAAGGTCTTTTTAATGCAGATCAAAAGAACAAAGATTCATAAACAGGCAAAGTTAAAGAACACAGAACATAGTTCAGTGTGCATGCAGAACCTATAAGTGAAGCTTTCCATCCGAATTCCGTCTGTCTCCTCCTTACCCCACCTATTTGTCCTGTCTAAAGAACATGTTAATTTGTTTTCCTTTTGTCTTTATATAACTCCTGAAATATGGAATTCATTATACCTACCCAATGCATATCTTCCCTTTATTTATCAAGCATAAACCAGTTTAATAGATTCCAATTCATAGTTTTCCCCTCCATCACATCCAATCCTCCTTTTCTTGCTCTTAATAAACAAAACTGATTTTCAGTTTTGAGAGAAGTTGGCATGCCTTGGTGTTACTGAAAGTGAAAACGGGATATAGAATTGTAGGATCATAGAATAGCTATGGTTGGAAGGGACCTCAAAGACCATCAGGTTCCAACCTCCCTGCTATAAACAGGGACACCTCACACTAGAACAGGCTGTACAAAGCCCCATCTAGCCTGGCCTTAAACACCTCCAGGGAGGGGGCTTCCACAACCTCTCTGAGCAACCTATTCCAGTGCCTTACTACCTTCATGATGAAGAATTTCTTCCTGATGTCTAACCTAAATCTCCCCTCTTTCATTTTAAAACTCTTACCCCTTGTCCTATCATGAGTGAAAATCACTGGTCCAATCTGGTGAAAAGCCCCTCCCCAGCTTTCCTGTAGGCCCCTTTCAAGTTCTGGAAGGCCACTTCAAGGTCTCCCCGGAGCCTTCTCTTCTCTAGGCTGAACAGCCAAAAATCTCTCAGCCTGTCTTCACAGCACAGCTGCTCCAGACCTTTGATCATTTGTGTTCCTCCTCTGGACCCTTTCCAACAGGTCCATGACTTTTCTGTGTTGAGGGCCCCAGAACTGTACACAGTACTCCAAGTGGGGTCTGACTAGAGCAGAGCAAAGGGGCAGAATCACCTCCCTGGCCCTGCTGGCCACATTTCTTTTGATGCAGCCCAGGATGCAGTTGCTCTCTGGGCTCCACCGCTCACTGGCGGCTCATGTTGAGCTTCCCATCTACTGCCACCCCCAAGTCCTTCTCCTCAGGGCTGCTCTCTAGCCATTCTCCCCCCAGCCTGTATTTGTGCCTGGGGTTGTGCTGATCCAGATGCAGGACCCTGCACTTGGCCTTGTTGAACTTCATGAAGTTGGCACTAGCCCCACCTCTCCAGCCTGTCAAGGTCCCTCTGGATGGCATCTCTTCCCTCTAGGGTGTCAACCACACCACACAGCTTGGTATCATCAGCAAACTTCCCAAGGATACACTCCATCTCACTGTCCATGTCTCCAACAAAGATGTTAAACAGCACTGGTCCCAACACTGACCCCTGAGGGACACCACTTGTCACCTGCCTCCACTTGGACATTGGGCCATTGACCACAACTCTCTGGGTGTGGCCATCCAGCCAATCTCTTATCCACCAAGTGGTCCATCTGTCAAATCCATGCCTTGTCAGTTTGGAGACCAGGATGTCATGAGGGACAGTGCCAAACACCTTGCAGAAATCCAGGTAGATGATGTCAGTTAATCTGCCACCATCCAGCATCTCTGTAGCCTTTCTGTAGAAGGCCACCAGATTGGTCAGACATGATTTGCCCTTAGTGAAGCCATGTTGGCTGTCACCAATCACCTCCTTATTTTCCGTGTACCTTAGCAGATTTTCCAGGAGGATCTGTTCCACTATCTTGCCAGGCACAGAGGTGAGACTGACCAGCCTCACCTTCCCTCAGTCTTCCTTCTTCCTCTTTTTGAAAATAATCAGCAGGAACCTCACCAGACTGCCATGACCTCTCAAATATGATGGACAGAGGCTTAGCAACTGCATCCACCAGCTCCCTCAGGACCCATGGATGGACTGTTTCAGGTCCCATAGACTTGTGCACCTTTAGATATTCTTTAGATAGTCATGAATCTGTTCTTCTCCTACAGTGCGGGGTGCTTTGTTCTCCCAGTCCCTGCTTTCACGTGCCATGGCCTTTGTAATGAGCTAGAGCACTTTCCAGAGAAGACTGATGCAAAGAAGTCACTGAGAACCTTAGCGTTCAATATCCTGCAAAATTACGTCTCCCATTTCCCTCAGGAGAGGGCCTACACTCTCCTTGCTTGTACTTTTATCCCAAACATACCTACAGAAGTTTTTCTTACTGCTTTTTACATCCCTGATGAGACTGAATTCCACCTGGGAGGATTTGGCTCTCCTAACCTGATCCCTAGCTGCTCAGACAACCTCTCTGTAATCCTCCCAGGATACCTGTCCTAGCTTCCACCCCCTGTATGCTTCCTTCTTCAGTTTGAGCTTTTCTAGGCACCACTTACTCATCCACACCAGCCTCCTAGAGTTTCTACCTGACTTCTTCTTAGTTGAGATGCAATGCTCTTGGGCCTGGAGGAGGTGATCCTTAAATATCAGCCAGCTTTCTTGGGCCCCTCTACCCTCCAGGATGTTATCCCAGGACATTCTCTCAAGCAGATCCCTGAAGAGGCTGAAATCTACCCTCTTGAAGTCAAGGGTAGTAAGCTTGCTGTGAGCCCTCCTTGCTGCCCTGAGGAACTTGAACTCCACCATTTCATGGCTGCTACAAACAAGGCTGCCCTTGAGCTTAACATCCCTCACCAGCACCTCCTTGTTGATGAGATCAAGGTCCAGCATAGCACCTCTCCTTGTTTGTTCCCCAATTACTTAGAAAAGGAAGTCATCACCAACACACTGCAGGAACCTCCTGGATTGTTTGTGCTTTGCACAGTTGTCCCTCCAAAAGACAACAGGGATGTTGAAGTTACCCATGAACACCATGGCTTGTGAATGTGAAGCTGCTCCTGTCTGTCTGTAGAGTGCCTCATCTATACTGTCCTCCTGGTCAGGCAACCTGCAGCAAACAGTCACTGCAATGTCACCTGTGCCTGCCTTCCCTTTAATCTTAATTCATAAGCTCTCAGTTGGCTCCTCATCCATCCCCAGAGACAGTTCTATACACTCCAGCTGGTCTTTGACACAGAGGACAACACCCCCACCTTGTCTCTCCTGCCTGTCCTTCCTAAAGAGTTTATAACCCTCCATTCTGATGCTCTACTCATGGGAACCATCCCACCAGATCTCTCAGATGCCAGTAAGATCATAGCCCTGGAGAGACACATGCATCTCTAACTCCTCCTGTTTATTCCCCTCCAATGAAGGAAACTGACCAGATGGAGGGGCTGAGATTTCATTATGGAGCACTCCAGGTGCTCCCCTGCTGAGCTGCACCCCTTCTATAGTGCAAGCATCACACTGGAATTGATTGGTGTGGGATGAATGGAGCTTCCCTCCCTCCAGCTACATCAGTTTCCCACCATAAATACATACATATATATACACACACATATATATGTATTTATTTCCTACCATATACATGTATTTCCCACCATGCTCTTTGTACATACCAACTGCATATGGAACTGCTTGATCATCTCCACTTGCAAATTCACAATATCTCGATGACATGCTTCTCTGGGGGAAGAATTTCAAAAGGATAATTCTTAGTTTTATTTAGGAAGCAGTAATTCTCTCCTGTCCTCAGAGCCCTGGACTCCATACTTCCTCACCTTTATGACACAGTGAAACAGGAGTTTAAAAAACTTCAAACAGTAAACATACTCCTCTACTGCTTATTTTCCAGAGTACTTTTTTAATTACATTGACTTTCATAAGTACCATTTTTGGTGTACAAAAAGACTTAGCAACTTTTCTGTTAAATATATGTGGTGATAATAGTGTTTTTCTTTGCTTGCAAGATGTAAATTCTCTCATTTTTACCATTTAAAGCTGACTGTCCATCCCTCACCAGAGATCCAACTCTCTCAACCCCTCCATCTCCTTCAAACTCACTCTAAATCCATGCTAATTTGACTGATTTCATAATAAGTAGAATGTTAGCTAGGTATCCACAAATCATTATCACTATCATGATTACTTATAGCCATCATTTACAGCACAGACATGATTTTTATGCAAAGTTTCACCAGCAGAAATACACAAAATATTTTACATTCAAGCTAATGACAATCAAAGCCAACAGAAGTCAACTATCTAGATCAAACTCTCCACAATGTCAACTTTTAGAGAAGTTTCTCCTGCAGGGACAAGAGATGAGCAGGGAAAGAAAGAAATCAGCACAAGGTTAAAGAAGGAAGAACCTCATTATGTAGATAAATTTACCATCCAAGAAGTATTCAAACACTCATCCTGAAAAGCTGTTAGCAAAGCCAGGCTTGAACAACCCTCAGAGACATAAGTCTAATTGGTCATCTGAGCTATTAAGAATAAGTAAGTTTCATACCCAGATTTCGAAGATCAGGGCTATTAATTGTGTTATTTTCTAACGCCAGCAGAAAATACGTCAAAGCAGATGCTAAAACATCTGACTAAGAAAACATGCTAATAAAAACAATAATGTTCTTCATGAATATCAGTACCTGAAGTCATCCATTGTCTCTTGTATCATATTCTGAATGAAGTTTATTTGGATGGATGTCAGAGGTGCATTTGGCCTGCTACTCCCAATGGTTTCTGCTATTTTTTCTGACAATGAACTGGCCACTCCAGCAGTAACAGGTGATGTTATCTTTGTACCTTTACAATTAAAAATAAAATAAATACATTTTTAAAAACACAATAGGTTTTTTTAATTGTTTCTGGGCTTGTGAATATCATATGTCAAATATTACCTAGTAAAAAAAATAGCAAAACAAACAGGTTTAGAATAAGCCTTTTCAGAGGCCACTAGAGATGTTCTAAGAGGGCTAACTGGATATACAGAAGAATTAAAATTGGATATTCTGTTTTAATGCTAAGGCCAGTTTATCAGGTCTCACATCACCATGCCTACAACTGGACCAAAATGGTCAACTTACTTATTGAAGTAGTACCATTTACTGGTAGATCATATGCAGAATGGGCCTGAATATTCTTCACTAGTCTCTCACTTGTGTTAGAAACCTTTATTACAGTGGTTGATGACGGAGAACTTGAACTTGCAGATTCTGAACTTGACGAGCTTGATTTTGAAAGCTGACAATAAAAATAATTTAAAAAAGAAAGAAGATTAACACTACTTATTAAAAGTTTCTAATTGCACCTGAAGACTAACTTTTCAGGAATGCACTTTCAACATTATTATTTTTAGGAATCTACTCACAAACATATACTTTTAATTTTCTAGCAAGACATTTTCAAAAAATATTTTTTAAATATTCAAAATTGCTTCAACTGCATACACACAGAAAGGAGTGCAAAAGTCAGGGGCCTCTTAATTTTCACTTCAAACATTTTGTGAAGTTACAAACATAATTCCTAGCAAACTCAGACTTCTAAAAAAGCAGTCAGTGTCTCAGCAGATACATATAAAGAATAGCTCAAGAAGAAAGAATATGGAGATGTAGAATAGGGAATGAAGAAAGAGTGGGGATGACCTAATCAATTACAAACAATCCTACTGATGCAACCAACAAACGACCATGCTTGATTTTCTAGAAAAACAGAAATATTCCTCAGGCTAGCTCAAATTTGCTTTGTATGAACATCTGTGAACTGAACTTATTTCAAGAGAAGAATACATTTATATCTTGCAATGCTGAAGACCAACACACAAACTGAAAAGATTTTACTGATTTGTGTCAGTAGTGGAAACAGATTTACAAAATAAGATGAGCTGGGATGCTATTAAGGATTTTTCCTTCAAGTAGTAGTATTCTGTCAAGATTCTAAAAAGACCACTCATAAGAATTAGTATGGTATACCTGCTTTAAGACTTCTTTAGGTTCTTGTTTTCCAAGACTTATTTTCTTGGTGTCAGTCCCTAGATGTTCTTCCTCTTCTTTAACTGGAGATCCCACAAGTGCATGTAACGGGCTAGACTGTATGCCTTGAGCACTGCTGCCCACTGGACTTCTTTTTACTGGTAAGGTAGTGGCGAGCTGTGGGAGAAAATCCAAACCCACACTGTAGGACTGAAAATCCAGAACTAAAAGGGAAAGAATGAAACACACAGGTCAAAAAACAAACACACAAACCAATTCAAACCCATAAATATAATGCCTGTGCATCCATGCAAAACAAATTTTAAAAAATAATTTAAAAAAGCACCCCACAAAAACTAAAACCTTAAATCCAACTTACACTGTCACTGTCCTTATGAAAATAAAAAAGCATTAAAAGCTTCCATCTATCACCATAAATTGCATAAAGGGAAAGCAAAATCATTTTAGGACCATGCCCTTGGTTTTCCTTTTACCACCTTGTATCTTAACACCTCAACACATAAGACAAGTTCCAGAAAAGGTCTTTTGTTTCAGTGTCTGCCTTCATTGTTTATTTTCAATGGCACGAAAACATCAGCATGCAAGAACTAGTGTAGGACTCCAAAGGTTGACAAAGAAAAAAATATATGGAAAGTATGTTTACCATCTCGTTTTCCTTGAGGATCTTCATTCCCTTTACTTGCAACAGTATCTAAAAGTACGAGAAGACAGACAAATTAAATGTTTATTAAATGAAGCCTACATCAATACTCATCATTGCATTGAGTTAATAATCAAAGACAAATGAAAATACCAAGTAGGCTAAGTGGTTCATAACACACAAACGTCAAAACATCATGCTATATGCAGATGAATGATGGTTTAGAAATTTCAGTATTAGCAACTTACCTTCTCTGACTGGAGAAAAAACATCTCCTAAACTACTTCGACCCAAACCATCCAAATTAGTTAAATCAGCACTTTTCCCATGATCTGTTTCTTTAGATGGAATCACATCCAAGCTGCAACTATGGGGTAAACCTTAAAAGGACAATAACATTCACTTAATAACTGACATTTTCAAAAAATAACACAGTATCTCTAAATCTCACAGCAAATATGATGCCTGGTAAATCCTACAAGGATTTAAAATTCTCTATGGATTCCAGTCAGAGGGTCAACTTTAAATTCCTCAATTGGGGCTCTCATTGCAGGTAAATATAGCTAAAAGCTAAGATACTTATTAACAAAAATAAGATACAGTTGGATTCCTTCCCTCTTTTTAAAAATGAGTGTTGTCAAAGTGGAGAATGCACTGATTTTAAGATAAATCTACATGATGAATTCAGCAGACGTATGGTGTTTTCGACTGAAATGAAAATTAGTTAATGTACCTTCTGCTAAGAATCACAGAATCACAGTAGTAGAGGTTGGAAGGGACCTCTGGAGATCTATCTAGCAAGGGGGGATGGACTAGATGAGCAGGATCCCCTAGAGCATATTACAAAGGAACACATCCAGGTGGGTTTTGAATGTCTCCAGGGACGGAGACTCCACAACCTCCTTGGGCAGCTTGTTCCAGTGCTCTGTTACCCTCAGAGTAAGAAGATGATGATCACATTCAGATGATCAAAATTTCAATTTATTCTGCAAGATGAGAAATCTGCTTCACTGGGGCCATTAAGAATTCTAACAAAAATTCTATTAAACTCCTATTTTAAAGCTTACCTGATGTTAGGATATTCTCTGCTTATTTCTAATATTAGAAAATCAGAGTGGGGTTACAGTTGCAGATGAAAGAAACTTGTTCCTAGACCTTTCATCACTCTGCCTTCAAGCACCATCCCTGACCCAATTTGGGGCAAAAAAAGTTAACTTTTATATGCATGGTAGCAGAGACAGTCGTCTGAAGAATGGGTGCACACCTTAAGTCCAAAAAAATCCCAGTAATTATTCAAACCACAGTTTCTAGATGAGAAACACATGGAGAAGTGAACTGAACTGCTGAGACAACCACCTAAATAACTTCCACAATTTAGTGTACCTGAAAACCAAGACAGGACTGTAAATAAGCAGCTCTTCTGCCCTCACTGAACTCCTTATTCTGAAAGTACCTGACTTGCTTAAGTTAAAACATCGGCAAAGAGCATCAGTGCTGTGCAATCCATAAATAAATCTCCTATAAATAATCTGTGCATACAAAAGCTTTACTTTGTACCTACTTTAATTAAAAAAATTACAAACCCTTCATTCTATGTAGGATTACTTCTTCAAGTGATCCAGTTATGGCTGCATGAATGACTACAATTAATCATGTCTAAATATTTACATAAACTGAGCTTGAGTCAGGTTTAAGATTTTATTTTTAAATGTATTAAGATAGCACATTTTCCACTCCTTCAGATGTGTCATATGTGACACAGATAGGACTGCGTTTGTTAGTTAAGTAAATACTTGGCATACTGAGTCACACTATAAGTGTAATATCAACCTGTGCCACAATCTACAGGGGACCTACATGGAAAAAAGCATAATATAAAATAGGGCAAAATGTCTTTTTGTCTATTTTTACCCACTCCCAGTAATCTAAATGCACTAAGTGCTTAAACCAGGGGATGGCTGTTAAATAGAAGTTTATGGGAAACCAACTCAAAATACATCCAAACTTCTAATCACATTTTGACTTAATTTGCACTTTTATACTTTAAAATACCTGTGACAAAAAGACCCAGTCCATTTATAAGCCGTATGAACATATTTTTCTTTTTGTTATTTTAAATATGCTCTCAGATCACTGTACTGAAAGCCCTTTATGTCTCCATAAACTCCATAATCAAGGTCTGGAAGAGTTTCCACAGAACAAATGCAGTTTGTGGTCTCTCATCCATTCCCATTTGTAAGTTTAAAGATCCTATCTTCTCAAGTATACAGAGGTCTTGACTTCTAAAATAAGTACCCAGTTTAATGAGAAATGTTTGTTTTACTTGGTAAGCTTTTATTTTCTTAAAACATTTATTGACTATGCATGACCCTGTTTAAGGCATAATAGTTGCAACATTGTCAAATAAAGATAACAAATCATACATTTTAACCAAAATAAATTTTCTACACCATTCAGTAGTGCTCATTAGCAAAATCTCTTCCATAGGCAGGACGCATTCTACTTCACCTTGTACTTCACTGCCTACCCAAGGGAGGTCATTAATACACATCCCTGTGGACTGCAGTGGCTTATTGCCTAATTACTGCTGCTAAATGTATCCCTCCTTATTTAAAAAGGGAGGGAAAAAGTGCTGTTGCATTAAAATGGATTGAGAATTTTTTTCAAGAACCAGACTAACAGTGTTACTGATTTGACCGTATTTCCAGAACTCCTGAATTAAACAAAATGTTAAAGAGTACATTTCACACTGTGGCAGAATTTTAGAATAATACTCAGAATTCTTATAAAGAACCTGTTAATTTCAGAAGCACAAATAGCAAGTACAGTTATACAACTAATCATACGTGCAACTATATTTAGTATCTTTCCTACCATGTGAAACTGGAATCATGCCTCATACAAAAATACAGTTCAGTTCTCACTTAGGTTTTTGGACTAGTTGTTTTTGGGGTTTTTTTTCCTATGTTTTGGTTGTTTGGTTATTTGTGTGTTGTTGTTTGGTTTTGTTTTAACAAGGTCTATTATTGCTCTTTATTAATAGAACTACAAACCATTAGCTCTGGATTCCATACAAACATTGTGTCATAAAACACATTGTAATCTACAAGTCTGAGTGCAGGAGACAGACCCACAATATCACCATGGAGTTTTGTTTTAAACTTTAAATAGACATTTTTGCTTCAAGGCCAGAATTTTAGATTTTTCTAAAGCTTGTAGTAGGACCTAATTCAATTCCCACAGTCTCATAGTATGTCTAATGCAATAGGGGAGGGAAAAGAAGGAGCAGATGGGCACACACACACATAGTTCTTTCAAACAAATGTGCTTCCCTCACTGAAATTTTTATACTGTACTGGTCAAGGCATGAAATATTTCTTCCATCTTCTACATTATACCAAATACGATTATAAGAGTAGCGAGAAGGCACTACCTGTTTTCTCCTGAAGAATCTCTCCTCCCTTATTCTCATTTGACAATGTCAGATGAGGTAAAACTGTTGCTGATGCTTGAGAGCCAATGTTTTTTATACCAGTATTTTGAATTCCTCCAAGATTACTACCAGCTTTGACTTCTACTTTTTTGGATACAGGTTTATTTGAAGAACCGGTAAGGTTAGACTGAAGAAAAAAAAAAAACAGAACAAATCAAGAGAACTTATTATTCTTTCAGCTAGAACTAAAAATATAAGCCAATATTCTGTTTCAAAATATTTTTTAAAAATCAGTTCAAGTTGCAAAAGTTGCGTAGGAAGCATGCCTTTAAAAATATAAAAAAGGCATCTTAATGTAACTTCAAAGAACATGGGAAACATCTTTGTTATTATATGAATACTGTGTGGACCTGTAAAAGAATAGCAACAGAATTTAAGGTAACAATGGAGTGAGCCAATTTTGATCCTAGGCTCTGGCACAGAAAAAATACAAGAATACATTATTAGAGACTCCAGACTGTAAAGGAATAGTCAACCAGTAGCAGCAAGTGTGCTAGGAGGAAGGTCTCAGAGTGGTAAAGCATCCACTTCCAAGATTCTCTCCATCTCCACTGAACAGACAGATGGGGTTTCTGGATAGAGTAGAGCCTAACTCTTGGAAGAACTTCTTAAGCCTTCTCTAATATTTAATCAACTTCTCCACCATTTATATGTGCCTGCAGAAAATCACATATAAGAACACACAAAATACTTCAGGGCAGGCAGCTCTGTCTTTCCCATAAGCAGAAAGGCCATTACAGACCTTTCTGCAACTACCTACAAATGAATATAAGGAGCCTCCAACTGATCTGCCACAGGATCACATTCACAGCAGGAAACTGAAAACTAAAGCTTCACTGATTTCTACATTGAGGCTGGGGGAAGGTGTGGGAATTGCACACAAAACTTCCTAAAATGGCACTTAAGATTGAGCAGTTTATAATTTCTATGTTGGCGTGAACCACTTGTTGGCATCTAAATGCTAATTTTTTTTGGAACTTGAACTTATTTTTCTTTCATTAATCTCCACTCTGTGCAATAAAAAGGAAAGTTTTTTACCTTAGAAAAAGTGTTGCTGAACTGCAGACGTATGCATTTCACACAGCCTTTGTGAGCAATAACTGTTTTCACTGGTGATGTCAGTTGTCTTAAGTCATACTGGCAGATTTTTCCCCGGGAACATCCTATAGCCAAAGTGGTACCATCAGGCATGAAGTCTACTGTTGTCAGAGGAAAATCAGCTACTATTGTTGTCAGTAATCTTCAAACAGGAGAAAGGACAGGAAAAAGAAGCTTTTAGAGCTCAAAAGTTAGGCTTCTCAAAACAGTATCTAAGAAAAAATTAAAAGCTTTCAGCTTTTCAGCTACAAGTGAGTAGTTTCACTTCTCCAGTGCCAAGTAAATTTAGTGAAATATCTTACATAACACTGATTAGGTTTATACTAAGTGTTCACGCATAACAAAGACTACATATACCCCACATGATTTCACCATGACAGGATCACATTGCCTTCGTAACACCAGTTCTGACACCTAAATTATTTACTGGTATCATAACTTCCAGCAGCAACCATACTACTCTAGCTTCCCAAGCCTATGAACTCTAACCTTCTCATAACTGTAGAAAACTTCAGGTCCTAGTTTGCATCCTGTTACTACACCGCCTCCAAAATAGACAGACTCCTGCTTTTATTCAGCTATGATGAAGGCACAATACACACTAAAACCAAAGTCTCATGAAAACATCTGCCATCCTACCCTTCTTACTATAAAGCCCAATCACCTATGGCCCACACTTCCTGCCTTTTCAGTCAACATTCTTCCATTTTTAAGGCTCACTATCTTGGCAACGCCGTGTGCCTTGTCTTGTATCTTTAACTACAAAATCTAAGCTCAGGTGGCTGCAGGTCCTCACAGGCTGTACTGCCCTACATAGAAGGTAACTGCTCTGTCCCAACAAGAAAAGCCTACTCATAAGTAGCACCTCAACCAACCCATGCATGCCTTGGATTTATTTTATTTTTTCTTTGGGGGGTTTGGTTGGTCGCCTTTGTGTTGTTGTTTTTTTTAAAAAAACACACCAAAAAGACTATGGAACAAGTTGTCCAGTAGTGATACCCCAACCGCTTCAAGCACTCTGAATGCAGTCTGAATTAAATATTTCATGTCATAATTAGACATGCTTTTTTGGTTTGTAAAACACAAATAAAGAGCCTATAAAATCAAAGTTCTTTACTCACTTTTTACTTGAAGTGTCATAGAGAATAATTCTTTTATCCAAACCTACAGTTACAAGCAGTAGCTTATTGACTGGAGAAAAGCAGATTTCTGAAGCTGGTGCTTTATGAGTATTTTCAAAATTATGATATGGTATCTGGTTATTTACATCCCACAGAGTTACATTTCCACTGTCAGAAACACTGCCCAGCAAGCATTTCTTAAAGGATGAATATTTCAGGTGTCGAATAGGCTGTAAAACAGACATAAAAAATGAACTGTAATACTACTAGTAAGCATAGTGAATTGTTATATAAACAAGGAGACACATTAGAAACATAGACGCTACACTGAGGTAGCTGGCCACTATAAATAAAAAATAATTAAGAAAAATACTAATTTTCATTACAATGCTATTTTTGCTGTTGGAAGCAAACTTCTTTTTTTGTATGAGGTACCAAAACAATTCTGGAAAGGTTTTTTGATTTTTCAGCAAATGTGATGCTATCATTCACCCTATAAAAAAACCCACACCACATCTAAAATTAAACAAGGGAAAAGCTACATTATTTCACTGATTGGTCTCCTGCCACGAATGTTAAGCATAACTCCCCTCCATTGATTTGAAGTACTTAGATATCTAAGACAGATTTCAGTTATTCAGACTTCCCGTGAGACCTAGGACCATAGAAGGGTGTAATATGCCTGGTCTCTCACATGCAGCCTTCCTATCACCGAACCATGTAATACAGGAAGTTAAAATTGCCTTTCAGAAGCCTTGGTTCCATCACATAACTTCAGAGGATCTTTCAGAACCTCACTGCTCTAACTACAGTAACAATACTCAATTTCCAGATTAATTTCATTTCTGATCTATTTGCACTAATTCACTCCCATGACAATAATGCACTTACACTTAAATTGTTTCCCTAACTCTTCAGTATTGCTTTTCCCTGTTTTCATAAACAGCAACCTCAGCTTCTTTCAGGTTTTATTTTGATACAAACATTAAGCAAGGCTCAGCCTCCCACGACTGGTTTTTCACTACCATCACAGATTCTTTGCAGTTCTCTCAGTTAGACTCTTTTTTCAATATGGACAAGCAAAAATCTTATATGATCCTCAAGATATTTTGCTGCTCCCTTTAGAAAAGAAGCAACACTTCCTCCATATCATACTGTAAATAAATACTTAACCTGATATATCCTACACTGCAATTTATTTTTTGTGATCCAATCTGTTTTGGCCACTCATTGCCATTTTAATGAACAAGGTGCCCAAGTCCTTCTTTCCCTTGAGAATTTTTAAATCTTAGTCTAATACAGCCTCTAAAGCCTCAGTTGCAACCTAAGTCTGGTACCTTGATCTCTATACTATCATAGTTGTTCTATTGTCTATCATGTCAATAATTTCTAAATACTGTCACAATCCTCTCTCTTACAGGCATTATCTTCCAACTGTCTCGATCATACCTTTACATCTCACAAAACCATTACTGAAAATATTAAACAAGATTAGCTATTGATAATCTAAACAAATCTTCTTTCAATATTACCTGTCCTCTTTCCTATAGCCAATTTCTTACCCATCCTCAATTCTTTTCTAAAACCCAATCCTGTCTAATATTTTCTCACAAGGCACTGAAGCTAGTGATTTAAGTCCAGATATGAGACCCATTACATTTTATTTGCCTGAAAATACTCCCAAAAAGCTATTACATCATTCTACTATAATCCAAATTGCAACACACTGTACTGGATTTTATCCTCTTTCTCTCTTTAACTTCATTTTAATGGAGATATTTATTAGTTCATATGCCTCCAACGTAATTCTGAGCATTTGTATTGCATGTCTCACTGGAAGTATAATTATTCCACAAAGAAGTGTCACCCTCAACTGCATATTCAAATAGGACAGAAGATGACACTTATATGGCCCTCTACTGGACATGATGGAGACACTTTTGTCAGAATTTTTCAGGTTATTTAAATTTTAAAAAGAAATATTGAGAAAATCAGGAGTAACAGCTTCAACGACTCACATGATCTACATGGGAAACACACCTGTTCCTCACAGTTCTCTTACTTCTTCACCTCCAGATACCATCCTTACTGCCCTTGCATGTCTCACTGGAAGTATAATTATTCCACAAAGAAGTGTCACCCTCAACTGCATATTCAAATAGGACAGAAGATGACACTTATATGGCCCTCTACTGGACATGATGGAGACACTTTTGTCAGAATTTTTCAGGTTATTTAAATTTTAAAAAGAAATATTGAGAAAATCAGGAGTAACAGCTTCAACGACTCACATGATCTACATGGGAAACACACCTGTTCCTCACAGTTCTCTTACTTCTTCACCTCCAGATACCATCCTTACTGCCCTGTCATCTGCTCATGTTCTATTTTCTCCCTCCTCTGTCTTCCTACCCACCAAGATTACGCTCCTAGCTCTCCTCAAACATGCCCTGCTGTCCTACAGAGTCTCCCATTTTCTTTTCTCATATTTCCTCTAATCTCAAAGGTCCAAGGCAAGTTCTCAATTTTTTTTTCATACGCATTCCTTCCCCATGTTTCCTCTGCTCCCCACTTCTCACTGAAGTCACAGCACAGAGAAGCCTCACAGTTTAATTTCAGGCTGCTGATGAAGGAGGTGTGGGGAAGCTCCTATTCATTCCTCACTTTCACCTAATTAGGTGAACAACTTGCAGCAGTGAAATTACTAGATCAGATATGAGGAAGAGAGGAGCTTAAATCTGTGCACACTTTTATGAAAGTCAAATGCATCATACTGGCATCCCTGACACTATGCTACATGTCCAAATTTCAAACTCTTGTCCAGACAGCAGGAAGCATGAAAGAACCTCATTTCTGAAAGGCTGCTTGACAAGACAATGCCAAAACATTTCTCCTCCCAGAAGTGAGTCACTTAATTTGAAGTTTTCTAAAGACACGGGGAAAAAAAAATAAAAATAAAAATAAAAAATTCTGATAAACATTTGAGTGAAAAAAAAACAGCTTTTAAGCTTAGCACCATTAGAAACTGCAGACAACCAAGCTTCATATGCAAAAGCATCAAGTATGAAGATGCAGGTGGTCCAAGTACAACATTTACAAGTCTTAGCTACATTTTCCTCATTTCCCACTCCATCCATAATCAAAGTGCAAATTAGAAACTATTTTAGAAGAAGAATAGGCTTCATGAAGTAACATTCTGTCTTTATCTTTTAAATATTAACTCCACATTAATTCTATAACAAAAAAACCCAATTCACTATCCAGTGTTCGCTGCAGAGAAGACACATACAGGCACTATGAAAGCTGACAGGCATACACAGAAAAATATATCTTTTGTGACTCAGTGCTACAAGTGTTTTTGCTTATCTTAGTGACAAGAAACTAACACATAGTTACAGTCTTTACCAAATAGTCTCTTCAAAAAAAAAGTTAATTTTTGTTTGGGATGATGAACTCACACAGAACTCTAAAACACTCCTAGTCAAGTTTTTTCCCAAAGCACCTGAACTTTGTTTGTCATCTCCTGTCCCCTTTCTTAAGCTATAGCTTAGAAACAAAAGTTCTGGTATGTAGATACCGAACACTAAGAACTCAAACCTAGCCTAGCTCAAAATAGCCCCAGTACAGTTCCTTGGCCTTTGTACTGCCAGCAATAGGAATTCCAAGTCTAAAAAAGGCACACAACCCATATGGCTTAACTATGAGGTTTACTACTTAGAAGAAAGAAATTAGCTAAGGATGTGAAAGGCAAGTTAAAGACTAGTACTTCTTTAAAAAGATGTCCAAGAATGTTTACACATTACAATTTCATCCACGGAATCAAATGTCAAAGGCATGGGACATGTTTAATTGGGAAAAATCTGACTAGGCAAGCCTAAATATTTTATCTGAATTGGATCTAGGTGGATATTTAAGTCACTTGCTTTATTTTACATCAGCACAGCTGTTCACTACGTGAAACTCAAACATGTTTAAATAAATGTCTGAATAAAGTGGGAAAGGGTCAAGCATTTTCTAATTATTTTAGTCACTAATAAATTCAAGATTATTAGGAATGACAATTATTCTGAAAGAGTCCTGCTTTGGAACTAACTTGTAAAAGCTGAAATAAAACAATACAGCAAATGCATATTCACTACACCTTATTAAGTAGAATTGATGATCTCTAGAAATTCTGCACAAACACAACTACAAGAAACATGTTTAGCACTAGGTGCTGAAAGCACAAAGAGAAAACTAAGTCCTCTTTGGAACATTTTATCAGTCAAAAATTCTTACATTTTTAGCGCAAAAATTCATATACATCTTTTTACCTTAGCTGTGATTGGAGTAAATTTTCCATAGAAAATAAAATACATTTTATCTTTAAGCTTAAGAGTAGGACAGCCAAACCAAGGAACTTCAGAAAATTTCACTAAGAAGCACTACTTACACTCAGAGTGCTGGAAAAGCAAGTGGAAGACCCAAAAGTAAACCAAAATTTGTCTAGCATCATTGATTACCTTATTTAAAGATAGTACAATTTTTTAATGTTCTTAAAACTTAGTGAGCTTTATAAGTGAGAAGGTGGATGTAAACACAGTTGATAGGCTTCAGCTTCTAAGGCTACTTCACTATATGGAGTGACCAGAACTCATCACTTCTTTACAAATCAGCCAGCTGTTCAAACAACTAAAATAAATCCTGTTGCTAGGAGAGTAACACCAGGCAGTGAAGACTTGAACAAACATTATGTTTCAAAACAAACCTTAATTCCTCCTCACAACAGCAAGCAGATAAGAATCTGGTAGTCTAAATGAATACCAACAGTAAAGACAAATTATGGGATCTGCAAACAACTCAGCACAAGAATTCAATTCTAATCAAGCACAAAGGTGTTTCTGAATCAAAAACAATTAATGGAATATAGGCCAATACTCATAAGAAAGTAACATTGTTTAAAGTTACAGAAACACACTGCAACATTAGACTATTCTACTGCTGGTAGGGTCTATGCAATATAAAAAACTAATTGGCAAGAAAACAATATTGCATCAGGCAGAATTAAACAGAGATAAGCTAAATTTTATAAGGTTAGTTTGACCTCGCATTCCCCAGTTGTAAAAAAAGTTACTAGGGAGCGGTGCCATATGTACTAGACAGCTAGTGCCAGGCTCAAGCAGGACAATACACTGCTTATCTATTCAAGCCTACTCTGAGAAAAATGGGCCTCTGAACTATAAATCAAGTAAAGGCTTTTCAAATTTAGCAGAATTGCACAAATCTTCAGATACGTGCTTCACTGCACAATTAATCCTGCAATTCTCTACAATTGCCAATTAAAACCCAAAATAAAACCAAACACAGCTATTTTTGCACATAAGAACAAAGATAATTTTTAGGATACAACATAAACTGATAAACTGGGACATCCAAGTAGCTATCCAATTACACAATTATAGCTCTACTCCTTTTTAAACTAAGGGCTGCCCCCCATCAGAAAACATTATAGACCTTTTAGAAAGTGAATAGTAGCTCTGTGCTTGCAATTACTTTCATTTAACACTTCAAATACCTTTATCCATCTTAAAGGTCACTCAGCTTTGCAGCAGGCCTTTTGATTTAATCTGCCAAAATAACTATTCACTGCATACTTCCTCCTCACCACTTTTTTGTGGAATGAGTTGAATATATCAAACAGGTTGATGCAAATCATCTAACAAGATTTTTTTTTCTTTTTCCAATCAACTAATCACCTCAGTTGTGAATTCCAGCCATTGACATTCCTGTAGCTCCTGCCTCACATCCACATTTTTCATAAGATCATAACAATCAGATCAGAAAAATGAACTGACAATATAGATGAATTTTTAAGAGCAAACCAAGTACGAAGTACAATTTTGTTTCAATATAAGTAGACTATGGTGATTGATTAAAGATACTGCAGCACCTAAGAGCAGATACAGTTTGGATTTAATGAAGATTTTTCAACAGAAAGTATACCACAATTCCTGTGATGCTATAAAGTCACAAGAGATTCTTCATCAAGTTATATTGTTCATGCTAGACTGAAATAAAAAATTTAACTTCACATTCTATCTGAAATATAGGATTGAAAAAGCAGTTGCAGTAACAGAAAATGTAAAAGCTTCAGTAGTTCCTGCAACACTAAAGGTCAGGCTTCAGACCAAAGCAACAGGTGTGCAACCCCAGGCAGCTCCTACCTCTATAAAAATGACTCAGTAAAGAATAACTGAATGCTCCGAATACAAACACTTGGCTGTACCTAAGACAACATTCATACTAAGACTCACACTGGAACTTCTGATGGGACAATACAGCTCATTTACTACTGCAGATGCTCTTATACCAAGGGAATTACCCTAACGATACCCACTAATTCTCCTACATCTTCTGAATCTGTAAGAAGGAATTGCAGTGGAAGTCCCTACCAAGTCCCTTAAGTAGCACACATGGTTTGTGTTTTCTCTTTTGCATAGCTCTCCTTCAAACTAGTTATCCAAAATCTTACCTAAACACCTAGGTAGGTAATATAAAATCTCATTGTTTACTCCTTGAACAGGCTTGCAATTTTAATCTCCAGATTAAACAAATTTGTTCTTTCCAAATGCAGGCTTATATTCATTCCTACTATACAGATGGCTCTGATTACTTTGGATAAATCAGAACCCAGGCTACACGGTCTTTGTTCTTTGCAACTACACTGAGCAGTGCACCAAAATCCTGCTTTGATTTCTAAAGACTACTGGGTTTGGTTCAGTTCTAAGATGTGTAGAAATGTGTTCTTGAGGACACAGTCTAAAAAGTAAAGTTTGCTGTAACCTTTATATAAGTAAAGGTACTTGAGAAATTCATAATTCAGTGTTAACTATAATTTAAGACTAGAATACACACAATGGTCTGCTTTTTCCTTTCCATAAATGCACTCTTAAAAATTAAAAGGAAACAGAGTAACAAAATTTAAAAGCTCTAGGCATGCACCTTTAACTTCTAAACACCATGAATTAAAGTTCCAAAGGAATTCAACACAGATAGCCTACCTGACGGCTTCCATAACCAAAGGGAGTACTTGATAAATTGGTAGTAACACTGTGTAGGATAATTTCACCACTTAAAGATCCAGAAGCAACATAGCAATCATTCCAATTGTATGTAACACACGTGACTTCATCTTTATGATCCTGTGGGGAAGTGAGGTTAGAGGGAGAGGGTAAAGGCATTCAGGATAACTATATACCTTCCTAATCTGTGCTTTTGCAGAAAAACTTCAGCTTGATGGTTTTTTTCTGACCATCTGTAACATTTTAAAAGTTCATTTAAGAGTTATTATGGAATATCCCAGGAAACACCATACTCAAGATCAGCCATTACATTTTAATCACTGCCTGATCATTTTCACAAGAATGTTTTAATAAACTAGTAAAGATGATCCTGTAATTGTATACATTAGTTTAATAAGACAACCATAGAGATATCTACCACAGATGTCCTTAATGTTATTTTAAAAGTAAAGTCTTCCAGAAACCAGTGATATTTGAATACACTTTCTGTTAATCTGATGTACTACTGCCAGCTTCCCCTTCTGTGACTTTTAGCATTAGCACATGTATTTACCAAATAGCTTTTTCGCATAGTCATTTGCAGTAATAATGTTGTGTCTGCTGAATATATAGGGGAAGACAATAATTCTAGCCCAAAAAGGAGAAAAAGGTATTTAAAATACTGTATTAGTGACTTAGTAATTTTGCTTTAAAATGTAACTTTAGAAGTACATGAAAAATTAAAAAAGTCAAAGCTAAAGTTTTATTGCTTCTTTAATAGTGGTCCTAAATGAGGTCAAATCATCTAGTGAAGGAATCATTGAAATATACTGGACCATCCAAAGTTTTGTGCATCACAATAAGGTTTTAGAGAATTCATACTGGATCAATAAGAAGACAACAACCATGGCCCACATTTGCACAGTATTAGTTCTACTACAGTATTCTACAAATACAAAAATGTTTTCTTGTTTTACTTATCAGAAACAGCAATCTTCTGAAATGCTGCTCTCAGAAAAAAATCCCTTTAGAGAACAGCAATACAAATTCTCAAAATAAGAAGCCTATTCTGAAAATGTATTAAACATACATTACTTTTAGACTCATACTCTGAAGACATCAAGCATAAGCACATGCATGTGTGCTAGCTCCTATCTGCGAACTTGCTCCTACACATCCATAACATAGAGAAAGTGTATTTTTACAGATGGCAGCAAAACCTGAGCTCTTCCTCAGCCAAACTTACCTTAAGGCTACGGTAAAGCTTTCTGGATTTCAGATCCCAGATATTAACAGTGTTATCAAGGCCTCCACTCAAAATACACGAAGAACTAGAATTCAGGCTCACACATGTCTGTTTTGCCTGTCGGAGAAGTGGAAAAAAAAAAAAGAATGTTAAAGATAATTAAGGGATTTATTCAAATCTAGTTAAAAGCATATAGATGTGTGTTTTCAACTTCACTAACAGAAATAGTCTCACTGACTCTGGAACTATTGGTACAATATAGTAATTTCCCATCAAAAGGCATTCAAAATCCAGTCCAGTTTGGAGATATGTTTAATATACTTCAGAATTTAAATCCATTAATGAACTCCTGTATGTTAATTTTCCCCATTTCAAACTTTTTTAGCAACTTTTCCTTCAATATGCATTTCCCCCTTAAATTATAGTTCTCCAAAGTACAATCATAGACTGCTAATCATGTACTGACTTTTAAGAAGAAAATACTAAGATTAGAAAAAAACCTCCTTCAAAGAAAATAAAAAAGTTGCCTAAGTCATATACTTCACATTCCCTAAACATTACAGGGAATATTATAACAGCAAACCTCATAATTCCATAAAGTGATTCTCTTTAAAATAATCACTGAAGCACCAGCTTTTGAAATAAATGTCCATCTTAATGATAGACCTACACTGAGGACAAATTATTATTCAGTTCTAGCATGTTGAAAATTCACTTTTAAGTTCCTGAGATTTGAATAAAGAACAAACAAGTCCATCCAATTATTGACATGATAAAACCGGAGATGATTGCGTTATAGATTTCCAGGACAAACACTTCACCTTTGAAAGTGTTTGCTTCAGCAATCTGAAAGTATGGTTTGAACACCTTTTCAAAAATGTTCCAGTCCAAATTAGCATTACAATAGCTATCCAAGGAGAATGATTACAATGGTATAGAACATTAATAACTCATTCAAGGAACCCCTTAAAGAATCTCCTGCAAAACCAAATCCAGCTTTCTTATGTTTATAAGGCCAGGCTTCCATTTAAGAGGAAAAAAAACACCCCAACCATAACAGCAGCTCTCCCATTTCACGTATTTTCAGAAGCTAGTGCATGTACACCCCAAAGACAACCTTTACATAGACTCTCATGTTTCTCAGCCTGCAGTTTACAGACATGCACAATACTGACAATTCAAGTTGGAAAACCAACTTCAACCTTGAGCTCTGTTCTACTCATTAGATCAGGTTTGATCCACTGGCTGCCTCAGGCTATTACCTACCGAGGCTCAGCAGGCCAATTCCCCTAGCAGCAAGCTATCACCATCAGATGCTAGCACAACCATGCTTATATTTTCTTACTGGTAGAATCATTTCAGAAGCAATATTGCCCCCACTTTTTATATGCATTTAATTATCCACAAGGAACTGTTTTTACATACCTGTCACAACTCTAACAAGACTAAAACTAAACTGACCCCAATATGCAGAACAGATGTGATGCAAACAGTACACAAAGCAGAGAAAAAAAGAGGGAACAGCATTACTGATACTTACTCCTTCAGCTATTTCAAAGAGTGGAACAGGTTTGCTTTTACAGCTCGAAATAACTATTTTATCACCAGCAGCAGAAGCAGTGACCAGGTATCTATCTTAGTCTCAAGTTACGGACAATAATTGTATTATACTGGGGATTAATAAAAGCAACAGTGTGCTTCCCTTACAGAAGAGTGATTGGTTAAAGTCTAAAGTACTAGACCTGGAAGGGACCTAGAAATAGAAACATAAGGCTATTTTCCAAGTCTTCATTAAGAAGCTTTTGCATTAACTACAGCCCTTATTTCCCAATACAAGACAGAGCAATTTCTTTCAGAGAGAACTATCTGGCAGATGTTATTTAAGAGCTCCCTGCTGCTAAGGCAGCTTATCTGGTCTACAATTTTGTTTCCCCACCACCCACATTTATCATCAGAGTTCAAAGGAATATAAGCTGCTGCTAGCAGGCTATGGATTTTAAAGAACAGTCCTGTTTGTGATAAATGCTAAACACCTTCACCATACTTTCTGAAGCACAATGAATGTTTGCTAATTTGTCTCCCTCTGTCCTGAGGTAAGGAAAGCAAAATCCCAAAAAAAACCTTTTAAGGCACCAAATACCTCAAAGTAGTAAGAAAAGACTTCAATAGAGAACTACTGAGCAGGGAAACTGCCTCTGCTCCTCCCAAAATGAGTAATTATTTAGAACTGTGCCCCATAGATCTTCAGGCCAATGCCCATTGTGATTTTGTATTTGCTTACTTAAGAATACAGGCTAATTGGCTGGATTTAACACAAAAGAACTGGAAGGCACATTAGTGTTTGCTGCTTCTTTCATTATTTAAAGGCACCATTTTAGCTTGCAGAACTATGCAGAACCAAAACCAATTATGTACCCCTAACAAATCACAAATACTCAAAAACATCTAGAGTAATATACTTCATCATTTCACTTCTGGGGGATGAAGCTGAGACCAGGTGGAAGAAAACATGACAAGACAGACTGTCTACAGCTAAAGTTTACTAAACAAAACATGTGTGTGTATATACAAATATTATATTTATGCTTCAATTTATATGCAAGCTCCATAGCTAAAAACATTCACTTGTGGTCTGATGTTTTTAACTTTTTTACAGGAGGAAGGGTGATCTAGGTTACACATTACTGTGAGGGTGGTAAGACACTGGAAGCCCAATAAAGTTGTGGAAGTCCCATCCCTGGAAGTGTTCAAGGCCAGGCTGGATGGGGTTTTGAGCAGCCTGGTCTAGTGGGAGGTGTCCCAGGGGGGAAATGCAAGGGCCGTTGGAACTAGATGATCTTCCAGGTCCCTTCCAAACCAAACCATTCTATGATTATTACTTAGAGAAGAGACACTCAGATCTTACAGGACTTAATTGTTAGGTGCTAGCATCCTGAGCTTTTCAGATGAAGATTAGACACCACAGCCTTTCCCCAAGACAGCCACACAAGCTGTTCACCTGACAGGGCACAGTTTTCGTGACACTTCCCATATTAACACCTGCTACCTCATCTCATTATCCTGCAACAGGCTTCCAAGACAGAGCCGAAAGGACTAAACGGGCCAGATTTATATATTTTCATACATAAATAACAATCACCCTGTGCATGTTTTTCTACACATCCAACAGGTTAGTGCTTCCTCTGTAAATGCTACAAACAGGGCAAAGAAAAGCTATGCCTCCAGAGTACGAGATAAGTGTACACTACCAAAGGCCATCAGAATCAGTGAGAAGCTGTGCAAACAAAACAAACAAAAAGATCTTTCATTACTATTTTCCTCTCTACAGTATGTGTAGAATTTCACAACATCAGTAATTGCCTTGCTCAGCCTTGTCAGTGAATTAAGCACTGCCTTGAAAGTGAACACTGTAATCAACTACTGAGGAAACAAATGAGTAAGCTTTATGGTTGGCAAGCAATTGAAGAACATCATCATCATTTAAAAAGTGTTAGCCTCCTAAAGGAAAATTCTTCAGAAGCATCTGTCAGCATGAGTTTATTTTACAAAACACTTCAATACAGAGAACCACAGAATTTTCACATTATATAGAACTCTATTTATGCAAGACTTCAAAACTGCATCAAGCCTGTGATTTACAGGCACCTTAATAAAAAAAAAAACAACCAAAAACCTGAAATTTTGCAAAATGCCCACAAAACTATGACTGAAATTGTAAAGGATACTATTGCTGGCCCAATATAATGAGCTGACTGGATGTGAGGGTGTATGTGGGTTGAACTGCTCCAGCACAGTCAGAGAGGAGGAATCCCATATTTTAATGTCATCTCCCGAGGAAGCGAAACGGATGCCCTCTTGCATGGCTGCACCTGGTTTTGCAAAAATAAATTTAAAAATTAAAAGACACATATACATGAAACGTAAAAAGTAACTTCACAAGTCAGGGATAATTTTAGCTGTGTCATTTAATTCTGTTTTCTTGAGACAGTGATTTAAAGTTACACAACTAGCACCATTCAGCTGAATACAGCACTGAAGCAGCAGAACTCCACACTCTTGTTACTCAAACTCTTGTAGGAAACGCATGCTTTCCTTCTCACAAAGGAAAAGCCACCCCCCTCTATGGTATCAAGGGACCAAGACGCTGCGTCTGTTTCCACAGAGTTTACATCTACCAACATAGACCCGTGACTACTTCGAGAACTCGCTTCCCACCAGCAGATGGGGATACACCAGCTCCAATCAAACCGGCTGCTACACGGAACGGCTGAAGTTCGGACCTAAGGGACTCACTCCAGCGTTCATCCCGCCATCCCACAGCAGACGCCTGAGAATCCTTTGAACTAAATCCTGAACAGGCTAAAACGGGTGACGACGAGTCATTCAGCACTAAAAACCCAACCAGAACAACGTAAAATCCTTTGCTTTGGCAGGCAGCGTTTTCAGAGCGTTTTAGGACCGATTCCACGCCTGCGGTTTATCCTCAAGTTCTCACTCTGGGTAACTTTTCAACTATCAACAACCAAGGGCTCGAAAGGCCTTTCACTCCCACCCAAAAGCTGCCGGGACGTTTCCACGCCGCTTTAGGCCACTCATTCCCACGAACGAGCGGGAACCACCGTTCCCGC